AGTGGATTATCTGCACCTCCATTAACAAAAATAACTGAGAGTTGACTGTACCTCGAATATGAATACTTCTCTTAAAGGTTGGCCTCAAAGCAAAATCACAAAACCTTTGAAATCTCTGCTTCCAAGGAACTCTAACTTAAGTAATGACAGTGAAATGCGTGCTGTTTCGAAGTTTATTATGTCGGGTTCCTATATTAGATACTTTACCATAGGCAGTTATAAAAGAAAATGAAAGCTGTTACATTAAAGGGGAGATACTGAGTAAATAAACATTCTGCTTTACAAATATCTTTGCAAATGAAACACAAATGAGAGAATAGAAGAGATACAGAGGTTATTAGAAGTTAGCAGGATATATTTTCTGGATCAATCTCAGAGAATAATGCCCATCATTTTCACTCCTTTCTGTTGTAGAAACGAATTAATCATTTACACAAACCTACGCTGGCGTTCTGGTCACCTATGGCTTTCTCAGCTGTATAGAATTGTAGAGCCGGAAAAGCATAGGCTCTAGGGTTCAAGTTCCAACTGTGCCACCTACTAGCTACGGTCATGACCTTGGCAGATACTAGGTTGGAGCCTCAGCTCCCTTACCTGTCAAATGAGAAAAATAAAGCACTGTACTTCTTTCTTGAAGTCATGGTGAAGAATAAACGAGCCAATACATGTGAAGTTCTTAGCACAAGGTTGTTACACTATTATACTGCAGTCACTCAATTTCACAGAATATGAAATCTAAGGCCTAGAACTATAAAAACCATTTTGTCCCAAATCACCCAACTACTTAGTGGCAGAGTCAGAACTGAAAGTCAGTCCCTTCAGTCACAGTTCAGTTACTTTGTCAACTACAGTTTTACTGTATAGCTTTCTTTCTCTCTCTCGTTTTGTCCAAAACTTTATAATAAAGCTTTCTCTCCCTCCCCAAATAATTCATTTCAGGACCTGGCTACAAATAAAGTAAAAATGCAAAGTTGGGATAACTAGATGTTGACTAATAGGTAAATTAAGGGGCAAGCAGAGACACGGTGCGAGGGGGAGTTTGTCCAGGAGGTGCTCATTGCTGCTGCCCGAGAGCTAAACCGCATCAATCCCATTGCAGGGCTGAAGCCTCAGGGCAGCACATTCTAATCCTGATCATCGCTTTGTCCTGGTCTAAGAAAATCCAAGACAACCAGCTGAGCAGGAAGAGTGTGAGAGCTGAACTGGCGACCTCTCTACCCTACACTAAGATCCTCTAGCACTTCTGCTTTTTAAAAATCATTTTTTAATTTTTCAATTACAGTTGGCATACATTATTATATTCATTTCATGTGTATACCTCAGTGAATGATAAATTTTGAATTGTCCCTCTAATGATTAACATTTATAAATAAGGAACAGAAACTGAGAAAGAAGATAGGGCTGTAATCATTTTTAGAAGGGGTAGCAATGATATTACTAGAAATAATACGAAAACACTGAAAAGAGGCAAACAAACTAGAAAACTGGAAATTAAAATATGCGTAAGCTCCAGCACGTTTCCCATCTACAATGGTCCAAACCAGAAGAATATATTCAAATGAAAAATAAAAATTGTAAGAAGTCATAATCACTATTTAGTTAGTTCTCTTTATCAGTCACTGCCATGTAATTAGGAAATCTGAAAAGTTTCTTTAAAATTAAATTTTTTTTTTGGTCCCCCCCCCCAATGTAATGGACATAGAACATTGTATTAGCTTTAGATGTACAACATGATTTGATACAGGTATACATTGCAAAATAATTACCGCAGTCAGTTTGGTTAACATCCATCACTACACAGAGTTACAAATACTTTTTGACATGGATTTCTGCTGGCTAGTTAGAAAAATACTGATCAGAATAACAGTGGGAGGTTATCCTAAATATAAAAATTAAGTGGAAACACAGACAAAAAAGTGGAAGGAAATCAGAAGAAAGGAAGAGACAACGATTGTGGCAAATGCAGGGCCAACCTAAGAAGCAGACACTTAAAAGACAAGCGGCACACAGGCACAGGGATGTGAAGTGACACAGTGATGTAAAGAAGCAGCTCCTGGGCAGAAAAGAAAGGAAAACAATATAATCTGGTCAGGGCTACGATGAGGAGTTATGCAATGGAAGAACACAGCAAAGGCAACATTTCCTCTTCTGTTCTGACTTTCTTCTGGTAGTCCCCAAAGAATGCTACAATTTAAAACTCTAAACATATCTTGTAAAATGGATATTACTGTTGGTAATAGGAAAACTAAGCACAAAGACTGAGGTGGAAGAATCAGGACAAAAATTCACCGAGGCCTGACCTTCATGTCCTTGAATACACAGCCTCAGCCTCAACTGAGACAAGCTGCTTCAGAGGCAATTATTTCAGAGGCAATTCATGGTCCATTTTATTATTAAACAAATTGGGGCACACTGTCAAGGGATGTTTCTCTTTGAGAAAAATTAAAACTGCAGTACAAGTGAAAATCTAGTAAATTTGTTCCTTATGAAACTGTACATATCCTGAATTAATTGAGCAAAATGTTAGATATTCTGAAACTCTCTGGGAATTCGAGAAACCACAGCAAGGTTATTAATCAAACTTAACAGGCAGCTAGAATAATTCATTCATAGGTAGAAACATACATACAATTATCCCAAATTCCTCAAAGCCAACAGAGAAGGCCCCTTTAGATCTGTGACGCCAGGGTACAGCTATCCACCAAGAAAACTAAAGTGTGGCAAAGCACAGCTCTAGGAGATACAAACAGAACTCCGGTTAAATGGAAGGCTTGGTTAACCACAGTTGAGTAAACCTGAGTTGCAGTGTAATCTGATAAGGAACGAACAGCATGGATTCTAGGAGTGTAAAACCATGTGTCCCCAACACACTAGAGTTCTCTGAAAGAATTAATCAAGTAGTGGATGAAGAACAACTGATGCTTATCATTCAAAAAGTTGTTTTTGTTTTTTCATAAGAGACTATTAAGAAAATTTAGTAACTATTGTGGATTAAAAATTGATTAATAGACAATAAACCAGGAGCAATACTGAAAGTCTCCAGAGATTAATACTAGGCTAGTTTATAAATTTATTAATGACCTAGAAGCAGCTTGCATGGACAGAAAAGGGAAATAAAGATCAAAAATTGCCAATGACTCAAACTATCCACTATAAAGCCTGAAAGGCCTTGCTGAATAATAGATACAAGGCACTTTCTCCACAAAATGAAGAAACAATACTTAAAGTATATTAATAGGCTCAACATTAAAAGCTGAAAAAATTAGCCAATTTTACCAGAGTTAGAAAAAGAGCAGAATAAGAGGAGATATAATCAAGATTAACAAAATAATGAATGGCAAAGAGAATTGCCAGCTAGTGCCTCTTATATACCTTTTCCTTTGTGAATACATAGGAACTTTATGTAGAGCTTTATGGCAGAAGATAAAAAATTTAAAATAAAAAGGATGCTGTTTTATGCAGTATATAAGTAACCCATTGAACATGCTGCTTCCACAGGACATTGACAAGGCACAAAACTTTGTACGGCTCCCAAAGATCTCAGAGATCAAAATATGGTTCTACAGTAAAATAGCTGAGGGTAAAAATTAAAATGGAGCACATATCTCATGATTCAGGGTATTAACTAGGCAAGTTCAGGAAGGAGGTTTCCTTTCCAATTGCTGTATTCAAAATGACTTACGTTTCAACTTTTAAATGCTCCTAATTCCATCCTAGAGTTCAAATTAAATGATTAGACTCTTATCCAAAAATTATTATGCCATAGTTTTCCAGATTTGTTCTCTTTCCGTTTTTCTAAATAGCAGGGCCTTCTCCATTTCACCCAATTCTTCTTCCACTTCACTTATCCCAGCTTCAAAATATTGCTTAAAAAGTAATCATGAGGAACCACTAAATCATATATGTAAAAATCCATGTTTGGAAAAGAGAGTTCTAGAATATGTTAAATTTTCTCACTGTCTCTCGCAAAATAGAGCAGAATTTAAATTACTGTAATACTTTGGTTTTGTTCATATCACAAAATAAAAATCTGAGCCTGGGTGATGAGATAAATCATATTTAACAACATTTTAACCTGTGTCCAAGAGCTACAGAAAGAAGTGTCCTTTCATAAAATCAAATGTAATCAATAAGCAACATAATTTTATGGAATAAGACACTGGATGGCCACATTAAAAAGGTACAGCCCTCTGGGCTCTATCTTCTCCATGGGGAATGAGCAATTCCTCTGTGAAATGCTGTGGCCCCAGTTCATAAATTCAACACATAAAGAGGAGGCCATGAATGAGTTATGGGCAAAATTCACAGCCTGAAAGCCTGAGAAACTGTGTCTAAAAAACTTTGTGGGTCAATAAAAAGACATGTTAAATTTTAAAATTTTGAAAATAATAAAAGTACATGTAGACAAGACCAAAGTGACCAGGAGGCAAGTTGACACCTTGTGTCCATTTTGTAATCCAGTCCTCTCCATTTTGGACTTAGCAATAGGGTGCCACACGTGGTAGAAAGCCAGCCTTAGCATTCAAGCTTGACGGAATTTTAAAAGTGACACAGTGATCAAATATGCTCCAAGGGCATTCTAGAATTTCAGGGTACTGTTGACCACTAAAACCAACCTCCTTAGTGCTCACTTCAAATTTAAATAGGGTATAAAGTACAGTCCTCAATTAAATACAAGCCCATGTAGTTCATCTATCAAAAAATTGTGTCCAGAATATATCACTTGCAAAGAAAGGTCTTACTATGTGTATCTTAAAAGGCAATGTACTATCAGAGCTAAACACAAGCAGATGATCTTCTAAAATGTAGGATTTATATGTTTCTTCTCGATTATGAAATAAGAATTTGCTTTAGAATGCCAATGAGGCAACATCGCCAAAAGATGGAACAAATAAAAAGTGAAGCAACAGAAGCCCTTGAATAGTATTTGGTTTGGGAGACAAAGAAGAAAGGCATATTCCAAACAGATGGAAAGTGAAATATAATAAAGGCATCCTTACCTGCATTAATTTTCCTTCTGCTGGAGTTATTTCAGCAACACCAGCAAACACACCTTCCAAAGTGAGATTCAGTTTTCCTGTGGGGTCCATTTTCAAGGGGATCACTCTGATAATAGCTTTCTGCTCTGCTGATCTTTCAGACTCCACCGCTGCCGCCAGTACCAGTCCTGTGCGTCCGAAGCCTGCCTGCAGGGTAGCCATCAGCAGCCAGGGCCAGAGGGCAGCCAGCTGCAGCTGGTGGCCGCCACTCATGCTACCAGCTGCAGCAATGCACTTCGGCCATACATACTGCTTCCACTAGCTAATACCAAACGCAGGTCCTCAGATCCAGACAAACGAAGGAAGAGAGAATTTATGCTTCAGTTTCAGAAACCCAAGTCAAAGTTTTGGCCCTTCCTTCTTCTAAAGTATATTCCCAAGAACAGGTGGCATTCCTGATCTGGCAGGGAAGAGGGTGTTTTCAGCCCACTTCTGCCGCAGGTATGTCATTTTCTCCCATCTTCGCTCTTATTAGTAAGATATCACCACTTCTCTTTGGAATTTCCAACTTTGCTTGAGGTTGAATGTCACATCCTGAATTTTTTTTTTAATGTCAGATCACTTGGTGCTGGTCTTCCATATGCATCAAGTTGTCGAGCCACTAAACCCAATGTTAATGAACAAAACAAGGCAAAGTAAACAACTAAGGCCATGCATTGAAGGTGAGAGTGAAAAACTCCAGCTCAGAAAATGAAGACATGGTCCTTTTTAAGCCACATAATTTGTCAACGGTAAAAGGTTAAATATCATAGGAGAATTTTTCTTTTAAATGGGGAAGGAGAGGGAACAATATTTCAGGTCACACTTTTGAGAGATGTCCAAAGATGCTACAACATGTATTCATAAAAGTTTACACTTTGAACTGTATTTCAACGTGGCCAAAGTTCTAGGCCCATTGAATTTATAATACTTTTCATAAACTTAAAATATACTATAATATTTTAATGTTCTACCTAAATTTGCCCTTAAATCAGGTGGTAATTTATATGTCTTCACATATTACAGGATACTCCTGAGCATCCCAACCTTTTCTTCAAATTAGAAGACTATTTTAAAAGGTTAGCTTTTCAATTATTTTTCCCAGTTAAAAACCGTATTTCTATCTTTATTTCACTTTCTCTCTTAGGGATTCCAGCTTGTATTCTGCTTGAGAATGCCAAGCACTTGGATTTCCCATGAGATGCTTTTGGAAACTACTTTATTATCCCTACTTTATAATCTGTAATTTTCTAGGTTCATAAGTAAAACAAAGGACTATTCCTAACACGTTTTCAAATTCCTTGAGGGGGTGGGGTATAAAAGATAGGGGGAGTCGGGAGGTGATTAGTCTACAGGCTGAGTAGAATGCCCAGAAAAAGTAAAAAAGCCTGAGCAGGGTAGATCTGTGCTATTTCTGGGCACACTTCAGAATTTGGGTCTTTTTACAAACAAAATCTTATTCTAAGATTTTAAAATGTGCACCCTTAAGTAAATACAAATGCACTTCAACCACAAAGCCCACGGTGTTCAGAGGTCAAATTTTAAAAATCTTATCAAGTCTTCAGAATAAGTGCTGAAAAGCCAAGCAATTGAACATGAACCTGTTATACAGATTCTTTCTTTTGCTGAGGCAGAGGGAGAAAAAAAAGAATTTCAAAAGAAATCTGCAAACCTGTTGCGCTGTCGGGCCCACTGGAGTCCACGGGGGTGAAACAAATTCAATTATGCTTTTATAGATCCTGCTCAAAAAAGATTTCAACTGTTTAACCAAGTACAGCTCATTCTTCCACCTTCTTACTCTGCAACCAAACCAAGTGCCCCGCACTGCAGGTAGGTGCCGAGAAATTCCGCAGCCTGAAAAAATAATCCATGCAGGTCAAAGGCAGAAGCTTACTCCAGGGTTAGAGCTACTGTCCCCAAGAACTCTAAAAACACTTATAGAGGATCCAAAGTCATTTCTGAAATCTCCTTTCTAACAAAAGTTCTTTTTCTCCCCGAACAGCATATAAAATGATCAAATCTTGAAAGAGAGAAGCAGCAAAGCAACAATTCACTACCAGGAACACAGAAAATCCCAGAGGGAGAAGGCAATATCTCTGAATCATGGATGGACTTGGAAAGTTCAGAAGGATTCGAGTGCTTCCCTTCCAGAAAGACAATTCTGGATCAACTCCCTAGAGGAGGAAGCCTGTGGTTTGTAATTGGTGTTCTAGCTCGGCCTCCCTCCCCTGAGACTGCAATCACGCTCTCTACCTGCTGACACAAAGTGAGGGTGGAGCAGCCAGAGGCAACCACCCCCCAACCTGCCCCTCCTCCTCCGGGCCGCCTAGGGCCCGGCTGGGGCACGCACACTAACCAGACACGTTCTTTGGCTTTTTCTCTCAGCTCCTCTGCTCCCTCTATTGAGCCACAGCCAAAATGCATGCAGCTGAATCCTCAGTTCCTTTCCCCGGGTAAGCCAGCTACCGCATGAAAATCAGGGCCGCTCCAACAGGTATCTAAGCAGATTCTGCACCTAAGAGAGCATGGTGGTATGAGGAAATAAAGAGGGGGTAAAGGAAAACCAGAAAATAAAAAGAACAGACCCAAGGTTTTGCAAATATGAGTTCGGAGATTTCTGCTGTTTCCGGGTTTTGGTGTCTGTAAGTGGAGCAAAGCCAGACTAAAGTGATCCTGTGCTGTCGTGCTTACTGATTTATTGCTCTCATGTCTACCACCCTGGCAAGAAGTCCGTCTATTTTATGCATAGGTTTTCTCCAGCTCTTACTAATTTAAATTTAATAGCTCTTTTCTAAATTGTGTCGCTATGGAGTTTTTAGATCAGGTTGCTGTCAGAGGTCTGGAATCTGTTATTTTCTTCTCAATCTTTGGGAGCTGAAATAATATGTACTATGGACCAGACCTATGCCCTCAGTATCAGACTGCAAGTAAGTCTACATCATAAGTACAAGCAAAGGGGTAAAATATATATGCCTAATGAGAAGGTAGGCAAAAAGAAAAATAATTTTCTGCCAATTACCACATGCATGAACTATAGCCCTTCCAGTAACCTTGTCATTAGAAATAATGTGTTTCTAATATGTTCCTAAAATTTGAATTTTCAAATTTATATTTAACTATGGCTAGACATTTTTTTTTACCTGCTGCCAATAATCTTTCCAAATTGTACAAATGTACAATGATGTGAATGTGGTTAACTACTGACCTGTACACTTAAAAATGGTCAACATTTGTGTTATGTGCTTCTTTAAATTGTGGCAAGAAGCACATAATATTAATCTTAAACAGGTTTTTTTTAATTGTACAAGTGAATTTTACAAATTGGTTATTTGTAAAATGTGGGTAATAATAATTGCATTGTAGATTTGCTGTAAAGATTAAAGGACATAATGGCTCTGAAAGGAAAAAGTATAAGTGTCTATTCACTTTGAGATTTTTTCCCTAAAGAAGGGTTATGGGGATAGTTTTGACATTTTAGGCCTAATAACTAACCTAGAGCAGAGAGATACATTCTAATGTAAATTCTTAACTTAGCACTTTTTCATTATTGGTTGGACATTAATAATGCAAGTAGAGACCTTTTATAGCTCCTTTCTAAAGAATTGAAATAGATCGAATTCTTTTGGAGAGAATTTTTAAAAATCTGTTATGGTTTAATATTTTTATTTTATGTATGCCATGTAATAGTACAGCATAAATAATGCAAAATATACATTATTATATGTGCAAAAATATATTTAAAGTTAAACTGAACAAAAAGGTACTAATGGCCTTTGCCTCACTTACTCCTACTTGAATCTTGCAAAGGAAATCAAAGAACCAAACCTAAGAGTTAATACACACATTTAGTTGAAAGAAGGAAAAAATATGAATGTGGCTTCCCCCTCTTAGGGAAACTCCAAGATCTGGGAATGATAATATATATCATGAACCTGGGTACCTGGAGATGCCCAGCATCAAACCAAACAGCTCTACACAGTTTAGTTCACTGATATGCTGTGTTTGTTTAGGCCACCAGAATTGACAAGCAAGAGAAAGTAGTCTTTGGCTTCAAAGTTTTGGAGTTATCCTTCAGGGGTCGACATATCACAACTTCACAGAAATGTCATAAAGATGCCATCACTGTGGTGAGGAAACGTCCACCTCCCTGACATCTACCACCTGTTCCTACACAGGAGACAGGTCATCCCTCAGGATCTGCTTTCACACCTGGATGGACTGAAGTTACTGAAGACCATTCTTCCTCTTCCAAAAAACTAGGTTTCCAAAAATATGTCCAAGAATTGTCCTTATCACAAAGGCATTTAAAAAATTCAATCTGCCCGGCTGGGCGTGGCTCAGTGGTGGAGCATCGACCTAGGACCCAGGAGATCCAGGTTCACTTCCGGGTCAGGGCACATGCCCGGGTTGTGGGCTCAATTCCCGACTCTCTTATCATTGATGTTTCTGTTTCTCTCTCTCTCCCTCTCCTTTCCTCTCTCTAAAATCAATAAAGATATATTTTTTAAAAAAGGAAGAAGAGCCTTTAAAAAAATTCAATCTATATTTCAAGTGCAAATGAAAAAATAAAAAAGCCAGAACACATTTTCTGAAAAAGTCAGATTCTTTGAAAAAAAGAGTGCATTCTCCTTTGAACTTTACTGTTACAATTAATAGTCACAATGACTAAGGTTTCTAATAATCACCAATTAACAGCAAAAACAAGCAAGACAACAAGCCAGGTTGAAACACTCACTTTATTGTTGACTGATCGAAATTTATCATGCTTAAGGTGCTGAAACACTGAGGTGCTAGTCGGGAACCTTGTTAATATGTGTCAGACCCGACTGGCTAATTCATACAAAGATTTTATTTTATCTTTTTCCATTTACCCAAGTCAGTGATGATAGCTTTAGTTGATAGGCAGCAGGCATGTGAGTATAGCAGGAGATCTAGCTCCTTGGCCTGTTGTATTCATACATAAGAAAAGTTTGGAAAGCTGATAAAGGCATTTCATTAAGCCTTAAAAACCACTGAAACCAAATCCATGCCAAGGTTCTTACTTGACACATGTTCCTCAAAAGATATTATCTCTTTCAACATATACAAAGCTAAGAAAGGCATATTTAAGGGAATAAATATCACCACAGTATATCGGCTTTTCAACACGACAGAGAAAAAGCAAAGTTCCTTCATTTGGAAATTGGGTCTCCTCTTCACATACTCTGCCAAAAGACAGTCTGGCCAAAAGATGCAGGAGTCTTGATAATCTGTTCATCGTTTAAACCTTGCTAATAAAGATGAATAAATGCCCACCACATGGACATCAACTTGTAGAATCAGATGGACCAAACAGGTCACTTTTCAGAACCTACTTTCATATCAAACGGAGTCACCAATACAGAGCTCATCCTTTTCCAAAACACTACTATCTCTGTAACCTCTGGGGTTCGACATCATTGGGAAGGTACAACGCAATTCAATGAATGGTCACACTCACAATGCTAACACAGTACTCTGATCATATCACTAAGTGCCTTTTCAATTACTTTCATATTCCTAGGCTTTCCTTTGGTTTCTGCAGTGCTTATTAGGAAAACGAAAGCAGAATCCAATTAGAAAGTTCTAGTCAATTTCAAAGACTTTAAATCAGAAAGTTTCTTGCTGTCTTTGGATAAGCAAGTGAGGGATCAACCATAGAAAGTGGACAACCAAGATACCTCTCCTAAAAACCAGTCCCACAATCCCACAACTCAAATTTAGAATCCTACAGAGGGGACAAGATAAAAATGGTATAGTATTTCCCACTATCCAAAATTCTCTCAGAAGCTTAAACCAGACATAAACAATTAACAATATCAGCGGTAGAGCTTCTGTTAAATGACTACTAATCAGTTTCTCCCAAAATTTGCACACAATATCTTATATAGATGAGAATTTATACTTACTGGGTGTAAAAATCTAAAATAAGAAAGCACTGTGTTAAATCTCTTAATGTTTTTGTACGCACATTGCACATTTCCCCCTCAAAGTAAAAATATTACACATGCATCCTTTATCCTTCTATCCTGCAATATTAATAAAAATATAAAGCTTTAAAACTTTAAAAATCTATCAGCATTTATAAATATATTAAACCAGTTGAATACTTTTCTTTAGAAGACATTTAAATAAGTGATATATTAACAAAACCTTATCATTTATAATAACATATCATTAAAATTAAAGAAAGATATGAAAATAGAAGAATGCTCCCATTAATATAAAATAATTAGAAGCTGTTAAGTGTGATGGATGCTCCAAGTCCGGATGCCTTGCTCTTGAAACAGAATGCTGGCTAAGGAAGTTAAGAGCATTTCCTGGTTAATCACTTAGAAAATTAGCTCTTTCCCAGAGTTTTGTCCCTGGAATTCCTGAACCATTTAGACCTGTGGTCTTGGTGACCTTACATGCCTTTGTTTCTCACACAAACTTCTCTAAAAGAATCACACTGTGACTTGAAACAGATAGACTGAAGTCCCCACTGGAGTTGTGCTGATCATAATTTGAGTGGCAAGATGACAAACCAGCACACACACCGATTATCCTCCAGTACCATAGATGCAGCAGTTTTTAGGTGCTTCTTGACTGTAACAGAAGGCCAGGACTTTTCATTTGAAAGGGATCTAAGCAGCAAAAAAACAACAAAAAATGGCTGCTAGATGTTTAGTAGTTTGTCAAGGTAAATAATCTGAACAGCTGTAGTAAATACCAAATTCCCAATTTTCAATGAACAAAATTCTCAATTAACAAAACAAAAATATCTTTTTTCCTTAACAGAACTGAAAAAATCCCAACAGTGCGTCATGTGCAAGGCTAGTCTGCTTCCAGCTACAGCTAGTGCACAATGTCACATGTGTCATCCATGCCTCACTCTTTTAATTCCTCCTCCTTTGGAAAGTGCTCTTGCTTGCAGGCCACGTCCACCAGCAGATGAAGATCTAGAAAGAAAGGAGGTTTGTTTACTCCCTCGGAGCCTCTCAGGCTGCAGGGTTCACACGCAAGTCTTCAGACAAGAAGAACAAGTTGCTTAGGTTTCTAAAACCATTCTCTCATCAGAGTCTCAACTTTAGGGCATTCCTGTACCTCTAAAGCACACAGATACAGCCCATTTGTTAACCCAACGAGACCAACAAAGTTTAAAGTGACTATCCCTTCAGTGATGTGGCCAAGCCTTTTTTCATTTAAAATGCCTTTAATTATAAGTGAAAATTTAAGAAAAAGTGTCAAAGGGATTAGGTGAAAAATACACATGAAAATTCGTTTCTTTGATGCTAAAGAACAGGTAGGTGGGTTGTGGGAATATGAAAAAAAGTAATGCCTTCAGAAATACAATGTTAAAATAAGTAATCACTACTTTTCAAAAGTTGCCCCCCTAATCTTTTTACTTGTTGACTAACATAGCTGATCTCTTACAAAAACATCTATCTGAACTGTCTGTAAAAAACAAAGCGTACCCTTCCTTCACAGAGGTCGACAGGCAAAGAACAGTCCATTAAGAACAGAAAGAAGTAAAAAAATCAGCTTTTAGCTCTGGTACAAGTTCTGTAACGCAAAAAGCTAAGACTATGTAGAGAGGTAGACTAAATGGCTTACCTGAGTAACAGATAGAAATAAAAGGATGCTAATGAGGCTTCTAGATTCAATCTAATGCGTTCATAACTTCTACAGTCACGCCATGACTAGGGAGCTTTTTAGGTTGGTTCTGAAACTTACAATTTTGCCCTAGTGGCATTTTAGAGTTAAACTAAACTACACAGCATGAATCCTTTATTTCATTCTAGACAGAGACTTTTGTCACTATGTTTGTAGAACACAGCCTCTGCAGGATTGATCCACAGCCTGGGTGAGAGTTGATTCAATAAAATAATTCTTTAAGAAAATCTAGAAAGCATCTGAAAAAGTACCTAATTTTTGTCATATTTTGTAAAAGACAGACCAGTCACTATGGGCAGGTACTCACTCATCTGGTGAACTGTACTACAATCTATCTATAAAGAACAAGCAATTTATCCAGATGCACATCTTACAGAGGAACAGGCCATTGTTTATCACTTAAAATTGGCTTCTTGCACACCCATGGCCATAGCAGCATGATTCACAACAGACAAAAGGTGGAAGCAATCCAAGTGTCCACTGATGAATGAATGGGTAAAAATAATATTCCATTGCATGTACTTTGTACATGCAATGGAATATTATTTAGCCTTAAAAGGGAAGGAAATTCTGACACATGCTATAACATGAATGAACCTTGAAGACATTATGCTAATTGAAATAAGTCATTCACAGAAGGACAAATACTGTATGATTCCACTTATATGAGGTAATAGGAGTAGTCAAATTTATAGAGACAGAAAGTAGAATGATGGTTGCCAGGGGCTGCAGAGTAGGGAGTTACTGTATAATGGATCTGGAGTTTCAGTTTAAAAAAATGAAAAAAGGTATGGAGATAGAAATGGCAGTACAACAATGTACACTTAAAAATGGTTAAAATGGTAAATTGTATTTTATGTATATTTTACCACAAAATGGCTTCTTTACAGTCTAAATAATAGTAGTAATAATAATAGTAATAATATCTTATATATATATCACATCATTTTTTCAAGTAACTAAAATGCATTTTTATAAGGTCATCTAATTAATTCTGAAGAGTAAATAGATACTCAGAGGAAGAACCTCTAAGCTATATGGCCAACAAGTAAAGCCAGTGGTTTCTAAACCTTGCTGCACATTGGCAATCTTTAAAAAATATACTGATGCCCACAGCTCCTACCCCATACATTCTGATTTAGTTGGTATAAAGTGCAACCTAGGCATCAGTATTTTTATTTTAAGTATATCTTTATTGATTTCAGAGAGAGGAAAGGAGAGGGAGAGAGAGAGAGAGAGAAACATCAATGATGAGAGTCGTCATTGATCGGCTGCCTCCTTCATGCCCCCGACTGGGGATCGAGCCCGCAACCCGGGCATGTGCCCTGACCGGGAATCGAACACCAATCTCCTGGATCCTGGGTTGACGCTCAACCACTGAGCCACGCCCAGCCGGGCGGCATCAGGATTTTTAAAAGCTGACCAAAAGGAGTAGGAGGAGTAGCACCTACTTAGGATCATTCTCCAAACACCTTAGCTCCATATCAGGCAAGGAGAGGCCATATCTTAATGCTAAAATAAGATTTTGGGATATGAATAGACCCAATTGTAACCCAGCTTTGAAAGCAGAGTAGGAATTCTTGATAATGACAAAGGTAAATACTATTAAAGCAACTACAGATTTCATATGGGGTGGCAGACTGAAGGACAACAACAAATCCTCTTCTTTTTTTCAGTGAACAAATGTCATTTATTTAATGGCTTATTAAGACTTTATCACATTGATAGGTTCAAATAATGGACAAGGTCCCAGCCAGGTGGCTCAGTTGGATGGAGTGTCATCCTGTACACCCAAAGGGTTGAGGTTCAGTACCCAGTAGGGCACGTAAGGAGGCAACCAACTGAGGTTTCTCTCTCACATCAATGTTTCTCTCTCTCCCTTCCTCTCTCTCTAAAATCAATAAAATATATCCTCAGGTGAGGATAAAATATAATAATAATAATGGACAGGGGCACATCACATATAGGCATTTAAAATAACAGTAGATATATGGCTTTATAACAGCCTCTGAGTGAGTTATATAAAGTAGTATGAGCAACAAACCATCTTAACCTTAATGATTGGCTTTAAAATAGTATTTGGCACATAACTTCTAATAACAAGCATCTAAACATAATAATTTTATTAAAGTGAACTTCCTTAATTAGCAAAGCTACCAATCAAGGAGTTAGAATCTACAGACCAATAAAAATACAAAAAGAGCCCAGCCCACATGGCTCAGTGGCTGAGTGTCAACCCATGAACCAGAAGGTCACGGTTTGATTCCCGGTTAGGGCACATGCCTGGGTTGCCGGCTCGATCCCCAGTAGGGGGCATGCAGGAGGCAGCTGATCAATGACTCTCATCATTGATGTTTCTCTCTCTCTCTCCCTCTCCCTTTCTCTCTCTGAAATCAATAAAAACATGTATTAAAAAAATATAAAAAGATATATATAGCTTGAATCTACTAGACTTCATTCAGAAGAGAACCTTGCATACTTATCAGAGAAAATAAGTATTTGAGAATCACAGTAGCTGAGTTGATTTGAGAGCTAAAAGGCTTTGAAGAACAAGAGCACTATGTCTACTTGTTTGGGAATGTTTATTCCTACTACAAGCACTCTCTACAGCTTGGGGGCTATTACCTTAATGAAATCTCACCCATAATCCAACAGCTACAAAATTCCTTTCTTCAGGAATGAACTGAACTTTACTCTTAAACATTCAGTTTCCCTTAACTATAAATATCCCATCAGAATATAAGACAGTGTAGCTTCCACAATAAGATTACTATTTGGGTATATTCAGTTTAGGGTAATATCATTATAGATATTGGAGGTGCATGATTGAATCTAACTTTCTTTACCTCTTGGTATTTTTAATCCACAAGATATTTCCTTAAGTCAACATGTGCTCAAAAGGCCACACAGCATGGCAATCACTGATTAACAACCTCCTTCTAATAAAATGCACGTCTATTGAAATCAATACAATGTGGATACAAATCAAATTGAAGTCACTTATTTTAAAAATTTCAAAGAAATCTTGAAGTGTGAGGAGATGCCCCTACTTAAAGAAAGCTGATAAATTTTCAAAATAATTCAGTTATAGAAGGGCTCTGATAAGTTCTGGAATACAGAATGCTCCTGTTCAATGGGATATTGAGCAACATAATGACATTTTCACATTTAATGTTAGAATCATAGGTTCAGAATTTGGAGCCAAAGGAGTTTCTAGAGGTGATTTCATGAAATTGTAATGTATTATGAGAGCTGGAACCTTATTTTTAAAATAATTTTTATTTATTGATTTTAGAGAGAAAGGGAAGAAGAGAGAAACATTAATTTGTTATTCCACTTCTTTATGTGTTTATTGGTTGACTCTTGTTATGAACCCTGACCCGGGATAAAACCCACAACCTTAGCATATCAGGACAACGCTCTAACCACTGAAATACCTGGTCAGGGCAAGAGCTGGAACCTTACTGAGGCTCTGCTAATCACTACTCTTAATGATAGTGACAGTTGAAATTTAAGTGATACTTTAGGAATTTTACATTCGGTTCCTATCATTAATAGTTTAACCATATATTTTAGTAGCTACCAAAATAAAAAACATTTGTCATCTACAAGAACTAAACTGAATACTAGTCTATTGTGAGTCCTCCCCACAAGTACCTCCTTACTCTCTTAAGGGCTTCTTTGGTCATCAATGATCAGAGCTCTGAAAAGATCAGAAGCTAAGTCACAAAGATTTTCTAATATAGGGTGCAATAGACTGAATGTTTGTGTCCCCCCCAACCCAATTTATATGTTAAAACATAACCCCTGATGAAGGAAAGGTGAAAGGAATTTCTTTTAACATAGAATCTATAATGGCATATTTATATGCTTACGGGAATTATCTAACATAAAAGGTAAAATGTGATTATTGAAGAACAAGGGGGGGTAACTGTAAGTGCTAAGTCCGTAAACACACAAAAGGGAATGGAGTCTATACACAAATGAAAGGACTGGCCTTTTCCCACTGTAACAGGAAGAAAGGCAGGGTGTATGGTTACAACAGGAGGTAGATTTGTTGGTGGGAAGATATAAAAGTTCTAGCTGCTTCTGTTTTCTTGGGAAAATAAGCAACAAGATCATACCTGAGAATGAAAAGAAAGGAGGGGTGCTGGAAGTTGGAGCAGAGAGAAGGTGAGAGTGGCTTTGGGAAATGGGGAATGCACTGACTAGGGAAATATAGAATCCCTCACAACACTGAGACTTTTAAGTGAGACCAGTCATTTGAAAAGTATTTAACAGTAAATCTTACACTGACTTTGGGTAAGGTTTCTAAATGCCACAGGACCATGTTTTTGTAGACCAACTGTTAGGCTAAATCCTGTCAAGGAATAATAATTTTCAAGTTCATAAATTGTATGTCTGCTTACACTTCATCAGAAAAGCTAACTCTTTAGCAAAGAGGTTCTAGCTTAAGCATAAGTCATTTATTTGCTCCCTGACCCTAATAAAATGAACATGTAATTAGATGTCATAATAACTCCAATATTTCACAACTCTTGTTTCACAGCAGGAAGCCAAGGTCAATTAAGACTCATTTATCAACACTACTGACCAAAGGATAAGGCTTTCCTCAGAAAAGAGGGGAAAAAAAAGAAACAGGAAAAGTTAATAAAGATAACTAATGTGCTAATTATTTTATCAGTTACACTTATAATCATACTATGAGTGAAAGAGAGGAAATCGTTACTTTAACAGCAGACACCAGAGTTCCTCTTGGGGAGGTAACTGTCATTGTTGAGGAGTATATCTTGACAGGTTATCCTGGTGAGAGAAGATGTGGCCTCAAGGACATTAGGAAATAGAAGAGATACCTAACCTTCCCTGCCTAGGTAAGATGCAGAATTCACGACCTGAGTAAAAAACAGGGAGAAAAGAGGCAGGAGAAGAGAAGGAGCGGTGCTAGTACAAGGAAAGACGGCAGCGTGGCAGGGGGCCATACTGACTAGTGACAAGAAAATGTGAGAAGTGGAAAAGTGACTGAAGGTCTTTCAAAAAGAGGGATGGTTAACACTCCATTAAATTATTTGCAATATTTTAAATGCAAACCCTTTCTACCTCCCCAAATCTTCAGAAAAGTGTGCTACGCATACAAATGCCTAATGTAAATGCTTAGGGGAAGGAGGGAGCCAAACTCTGCATCTGCCATGGCATGGAGCAGAAAGAACAGTTTTAGGAGGTGAGGAGTGGATGAATCTGGAATTAAGCAGAAGTAGACTAGAAGTGACTAGAAATAAAAGTGACTAGAAGCTCTAGAAATTCTCAGAAATCTCAGAAAAGCATTTTTGGTGTGGGATAAAGGTTACCCTGAGTTAGTCATATCTAAACCTCAAAAGTGAGGTTAATATCTGGGATATAATATTTTTTCAAAACATTTTTTAAATCACTCATTCCTATTTTTAGTATTTTTGAACTTTTTTTCAATTTAAAAAAAATCTAGGAAAACACAAAAAGTGGTGAAAATTTCCCATAATCCCACCATTGTGTAGATTCATATAAAATTGAAAAGTAAAAAAAATACTTCTCAACACCACCAATTCTACTTTCCCAGAGGTAACCACTGTTATATGTATATCAGTGTTATCATATATACTTCCAGATTTTTTTCTATGGCTATATCATATATGCTTTTCTTTCTTTTATTCTTTCTAGAAATGGGACTGTCCTAGACATATTATGCTCCAACTTGCTTCATTCACTTAACATATTATAAACATTATCTTTCCAGGTAACATATCAAGCTACTTCATTTTCTTAAACGGTTGCATAGTATTTATTGCATGAGTTTATCATAACTTAATCTAATTCCCTATTATTAGGCATTTATGCTTTTTCCAAATTTTTGTTATTATCAATCACTATAGCAAACTCTGTAGGAGAGATTCCTAGGAGTGGAGTTCCTGAACATTCTAGTTATTTATAGATAATGCCAAATTGTCCTTCAAAAAGTCCTACAAATTTACATTCCAATTACAGTTATAGGAGGTTCCTTTTGCCCTACACCTTTATCAAACCTGGATATTAGCAGTAGTTTAAAAGGTTTTGCAGAAAGAACCCAATGAGTCTGAGCAACATCTTGATCATATCATTATTAATTTACCTTTTGGAGAAATTCTCACAGTTCTCAAAATTTTTCAAATTTTTATAGGTTATAAAATTATTGCTTGACCTGATTAATTCTACCTTAACTGCATGCCTCTGACATGCATATAATTTGAGAATAGTAAAGTTGTCCACTGGAGATTTTGATGACATGTTCTTGGATGACATAAGAAAAACATTTTATTAGATGTCACTATTTTCTTTAAAAAATGATTTTGTTCAATTTTCCTAGAAAGAGTAGATGTATTATTTCCCCATACACAAACCATTGAAATGTATGTGGAGAACAAGTGTTTGTGCCTAAAACAATCACTAATTCTGTGCACCTACAAACCACAAGAGAAACAGTCCCACTGAAAGAGCCATACTTTATACTGTCTTTATAATATGCTCAGGATAATGTCTTTAATGTTCATCTAATTTTTTCCTGCCATAATTTAAGCACATTCTCTCCTGTCCTATACCCTGTTAATAAGAGAACAAGTACATCTATTATTACAAAGTCTTTAGAATTGGAAGCAATTATGAAATCACCCGTCATTCTTGCCTTCTTCAAGTTAAATAACCCAAATTCCTTTGCTTTTACTTAATACGTTCTATCTTTTTAAAAGCTCAAATTCTTACATAAAATATTAGAAAAAAAATCTTTTACATAGTTTACAAGGATAATTAGGAAAAACAGTTAAAATTACATGTAAAATAGCAATGTGATAAGTAAAATACAATTAGTAATTAATGAAGACCCAGAAAAACTGTTGTTCATATATTAATTCTACACCACAGTTCTACTTCTAACATTCTAGAGCATAATAATCCTTACCAGGGGACTTTCCTTGCTGTGAGCTGCTTCTTCGCTCCCTGTATCTGCCTGGAGTGGATAAATCTGTGTCTTTACTTGGCTTGCTAGCAGGCCCCATCTCTGAAATAAGGAATCCCATCTGTTCTGAAGGCAAGATGTTCTCAGGTGGATTGGTCTGGCATTTTATACTGGCATCCACCTAAAATATTAAACCCACTCATTAAACTCACTCATTGTTCTGAATTTCCCCCAAATATCTACTAAAAGTTAATATATTTTATCAGAGTTCTATTATAGAAACATGATCCAGTAAACATGTTTGTAAACATCCTTATGAATGATATTATCTTTGATTTTGTTGATTTAATCTAAATATTCAGTAGTAAGATGTATTATTTCCCCATACACAAACCATTGAAATGTATGTGGAGCTTAAACATTTACTTACACCCGGAGAAAAATTTACCAGGAAGCTTGTTTTGTGTTTTTTAAATTCTGCTTTAGGAATGCAGATATTAGTAAAGAAATTGCAATACAGTATACTCACAAGTCAATTAGAATTCAATAATGCCATAAGAAAGTATAAAAAGACCTCCAACCATCTCATTTCGATGCTACAAATGCCTAGGAAGTCCTGATGTTATCTGTCAGATAAACTATCCCTTCCGAGTAGGGGAATTTAATCAGCCAAGCACACCTAGTCCATCCAAATTAAGATAGGAAGCAAAACTCAAGGAATGCTTTTAACATGAAAGCAAGTCTTTTACCACAATGTTCGGTCAGACCACCTCTCTAGAGGTTGACTTCAGATCATAATATAGTGAGAGGAGGCCTGAGGGTTAAGATTACTTCTTTCTGAATATTTTGTGTAGAACCCTTGGGACATGATCCTTCTAGAAAGCACAATAAATTGGTATTAAGCCCAAATAAAATCTGAATACACCCTCCACTAGAACAGCAAGAAAACTAGGCACTTTAATAAGCTTTATTAGCACTGTTTCTTTTCCCCTTACCTGGTGTGGGCTGAATGGTAGCCCTTCCTGCACAAATACTACTGAAGGTGGAGATGGATTATGACTTAGCTGCTCCTTCAGTTTGACATGAGCTTGTTGGATGGCAGATTCCTGCATTGTAGTATTTTCAACAGGCTGAGCTGTGTGGATGGTATACATGTACTCAGGTGACTGTGGTAGAGAGCAGGTAATTGCTTGTTCTGTTCCAACCACAAAAGATGTAATATCTGAACCTACAGGAGTAAGTGGCTCCAGCTGGCTAGCCTGACTTGCGGAAGATGGATTGTTATTGCTTGAATTAGCTAGGATATGCTGGCCTCTGTTAGACTGAGATGTTGGGCACTGATTCTCAACAGGCTCCACCTTTACCATCTCCAATTTAGGGGAGGAATGCAACTCATCTAAGATCCGAAAAACAGCCTCTAGGTTTACTTCTGTCTTTTTATTTTCATCAGTAGTACCACAAGGCCAATTAGAAGGCAGAAATTCAACTGGATAGGAGGATGGCATTGGAGGATTCTGGGAAAAGAGAAAATAGGACTGTTTGGATAGAAAATCAAATATGAGATTAAGGAGGAAAGAAACAACATATAGGCTGATGAATGCTAAACATAAATAGATTAAACTTAAAGCTTACTAAAAAACTTGAATACCAATCAACTTTTCAGCAGTGATAGCTTCAATTCTATTGTTAACAGTTACTTAGCAACTATATGTCAACCACTATGTTAAGTTTAATATTGGAGTGGACCAAAAATTCTCAGGGTTAAAGTATACAAAATCAAAAGGCTACAGTCCCCAAATACCTAATTTGCTGATAAAATATCTATATGCCAAGTTTTTCCATAAAGGTTGACAGACAAAAACATCACTTGTATCCATCATATACTGTTTTAGGAATGCAGTAAGGAAATTTCAAACATAGGATGCTCATAAGTCCACCAAGGCTTCTATAGTTTCAGGGGGAGGTACTGTTCCAAATGATCTGAGAAAAAATGGATGGAATATCAACTGTCCTTTGGTTTCTGACATTGTTTCTTTTTAATAATAAAACAATAGATTAAAAATAGCTATCAATTCTAGACTGATCTTTAAGATGTATTATCTTAGACATTGGACTTTGCACAGAGTATGCATTCAATTACGTTTGGTGATAAATGATCTCAAGCTATGAACATAAAATACTGAAAAGTAATGATTAAGTAAAACATGTAAAAAAACAAACTTTGCACCTAATAGGCATTCAATAAATGTTTCTTGATTATCTCAGATTATAAACCTAAAATACAGGACAGTTATGATTAAATAAAACATGTAGTGTGCTGATGTTGCTAAACACACTCCAAAGATTGTGTCAATGATTTGAAGAACATTAATGCCAAATAATGTAAATTTAATGGTTAGAGCATCAAGCTACTTTACTACAACAAACAGCACCATTTACTGAGTTCTCACCATGTGCCAAGCACATGAAACGTGCCTTACATATATTATTTCATTTAATCCTTACAAGAGGTCTATGAAATATGATAATCTCCATTTCCAAATGATGAAACTAAAGTTCAGAGAAACTTCATAATTTACTGAAAATCACAATGAAATAACTGATAGACCAGGTTTCAAACTTAGGGTTGCCTGACTCAAGATCTCTTGCTCTTAACCATTACAGTATACTGACCATTCATGCACTTTCACCAATACCTACAGTCCAATTTATTGCATTTATTTCCAGAATGGCATCTGAAATACTTTCCCTTTCTTTCCATTTTAAAATTTTGTCCACTTATCTTTATTTTCCTATAATAAACATGCATTGTCCTTGTAGTAAGTCTTTAAAGATGCTTTAAATTATTTAATACAAACATAGTCAAGATAAAAACACTATCAGAGTATTGCCAGTATGATTCAGGGAAGATAGTGTCTGGGTCCACAAACAAGAGCATCCACTTTGTGTGACAGATATGTCCTTCTAGAAAGATAAACAGAATGGACTTTCATGATTGATTATATCTACCATTAAAAATGTCAAACTAAGCACCCCTGATCTGATTCTATACTCTTCAAACAATCTGATCATAATTTAACTTCCCACATAGACTTTCTAAAAAAAAAAAGAAATGTTCTTTTGAATATTGGAATGCTACTAATAAGATATTCTCTTAAGAACAGAAGCTATCTTGGCTACATAATATCAAAGGCAAACACATAATTCCAATCTTTCAACAATTATTATAGCATAAAATACAAAGCACAGAATTTAATCTTATCCTAGAAATAGCAATCTAAAACAACTGTTTCATAATAAATAATGAGAAGATACTTGAAGTACATTGTTTACAACATGGGAACTGAAGGACCACCACTTAAATTTGTTTTTTATATAATTTTTCTTTTCTCCTTAAAAAAAATTATCATAACCTATGGACACGGACATTGGTATGGGGAAGGCCTGGGGGTGGGGTGGATGCAGGCTGGAGGAAGTCAATGGGGGGGAAAAGGGGACATCTGTAATACTTCCACAATAAACATGTATTAATTTTTTTAAATTGCCTATACCATCTTGGAAGAATCTGTCATTTGAAGGCTTATATACTCTTAAAGTTTATCTGGTATTCATTTTACCATGGAAGAGCCTAGAATAGCACTGTTCCAACTAACCTCCGACAATGATGGAAACGTTCTCGATCTGTGCCGTACATTCGGTAGCCACTAGTCTATGAGACTACAGAGCATTTGAAATGTGGTTAGTGTGACTGAGGAATAAATTTCATTTAATATTAATTAATTTTAATTTAAACAGCCACATGTGGTTAGTGCCTACTATATTGGACAGTGCAGGTCTAGAAGAATCCTAATATATCATTTATATCAACTCTTTTTTCAGAACTGAGAAAACTGAGGCCATAATCCACAGTTTACCTGTGGCTACTCATTAAGATAAAATTACACTCTGAAATTCTGCAAGGTCAATACTATTGCGCCTGATGTACAGAGTATATCCACTGTTCCAAGATCTTACCTGGAAGTAGTTGCAGTGTGCATACGTAGAGGCAGTGGGAGTGACACAACTACTGAGAGCGTCCATGTGGGTAGGAGGAGAGCAGCACTGTAACACAGCTGGGACAAATACAAAATAGGATGTCCATTAACCAAACTAAACCTCTATAGCATTCAAGGTACTCCCCTCTTTCATCTTGGAAAAAAATGCTTTCCTTTGTAGGTGCAATAAAATATATTTAATCCAATTAGGTGCTACTGTTTGTTGAAAACATGGTAAGAAATCAATTTTAAAAGTCACTATAAAGTGTCATGTCTACTTTTATAAATGATTTTTTTAGTACCTAAACATTTTTGTACCTTTCTAACCACACATTTACTCTTATTAAAAGTAACTTCTTTTTGTTGAAAATATCAGAACAAATTTTGGAATTCCAAAATAATTATTTCAATCATTTTAATAGTGGCAAACACTTGGACGAGGGTGTGCTTTTAAGGATAAAATAAGTGTGAAATACTCTCCAAACATTCCTACCACCATACAATGCATCCAGTGAGATGTATGCAAAAAAATGTTTAAACATTTAGACAAGTGGTTAGGAAGTCAAATCCTAGTGCCAGACTGCCTGACTTTGGAACCCAGATCCAAAAACTTAATAGCTGCATAAGCTTGAGCAAAGTTCATCTCTTTGGGCTTCAGTTTCTGCATCCCAATAGAATAGGGATTATAATAGTACCTACCTAATATGTTTGTTGTGAGGAATGAATGAGTTAATATACATACAGCGCTTAGAACTGTACTGGCATAGAGTAAGGAATCAATCAATCAATCAATCAGTAACACTCCTATTATTTTAACTAAAAAGATACATTTTCCAAACTTTCTCTTTATAGCTAGGATACCATGAAAAGATTGAACTCTTTATACTGGAATAGTTATACTCACAGATGCAGTCTTAAAAATTGGTTGAGTATGTCTTTTCCAGAGAGAGACTCTCCAGAATGAATGAAAATTAAGTTATTATATCACACCTTTGGATTAAATAGAGAATGACATTTATTTGAGTATCTACCATGTTCCAGGCACAGTAGTAGGTACTTTACATATATTGCCTCATTTCATCCAAACAGCAATTGAATGAGGTATTACCATTACTTTACAAAAATAGGGAAACTAAAGCTCAGAGATATGAAATAATTTGCCAAAAGTCACAAAGCTGGTAGTGATAGATGCACTGATCAAACTCAAGCACGTGTCCTTTAATATTCCACAATACTTCCCTAATCTTCCTTCTTCCTAAAACGTAACATTTTAATTTTACTAGAACTCTACTTACTGAATATTTTTAAGATGACTTCATTACACAGTGCACTTTCTCTTTTTATGTACACGTTTTTCATATTTCCAGTGTGCTAATAAAATTACTAAGTAATCTCATTCTGTAATCTCTGAAAGTAAAGTAGCCCAAGGACTGTAAAAATCCATTGAAATGCTTCCCTATTTCTCCATTATTGACTACTGACATTTAAAATGTCAGAAGTTCATAAAGGTACACTAGAAAAAAATATTTCCTTATATTTATGTGCAATTTAAGGCAGATTAACTTTGCACATGAAAGGGAAAACTTGAAGTACTGGATAGAATTCTAGTTCAGATCCAGATATTACTTAGAAGGTCACATAAAATTCAAACTGTTGTCACTTCCTTTATCCTTGAAGATTCAAATTTAGTTAAAATGTTTTGGATTTGAATTTGGTTTCCGAGGATATTCAAAAGCATGAACATCCTAAGAAATAAGTTAAATGTTAAGAAAGCCAAACACGGTCTGCAGGGTTTGCCAAAACTCTGAAAACAAAATGGGACTACAGTTTTCTAGTTTTAAGGTAAAGAAAACCTAGCCCCCTAGCGGCAGGAAAAGATGATGCAGGTTTACATCCATCAGGGCACCATCAGTGTGCCAGAGAGAAGGCTGATGGAGGCAAGGTAGAGGTGGGCAAAGGGGAAGAAAGTGGGGACAGAAACTCTGCTTTGGGTGGTGGGTGCACGAAGCAGTGTGCAGATGATGTTTTGTTGAGCTGTACACTTGAAATGGTTTTGTGAACCAATGTCAGCCCAATAAATCCAATAAAAGAAAATAAATCAATGAAAGGTTATTAGCTTTATTTTTCTGATATTGCTATGTCTGACTCTATTGGTTACACATTTTAAATAGTTGTTAAAAGTGTACTTTAAATTTCTTGGAGAAATAAAACAGAATATGCAACAGAGAAAATATTTGTAGTTGATAGCTAATTTGGTATCTCAGAAAACAGCAAAATAGTGAATGTCCTCTAAAGTGTCCAGTAACAAATGAAAAGTAGAAAGTTACCTCATGAAAAAAAAGGACTTGAATAGGTAATCCAAAAAGATTCCTCATGCAGCTGTGAGAGAGAGGAATCTCTTGCCCTTAGGGACAGCATGGACGGACCTGGAGAGTATTATGCTAAGTGAAATAAGCCACGCAGAGAAAGACAAGTACCACATGATCTCGCTCATATGTGAAATATAATGAACAAAATAAACTGATGAACAAAACAGATCCAGAGACACTGAAACATGCAACAGACAGACGTATCTCAGAGGGAAGGGGGGAGGGTGGGAAGAGATTAATGAGAGAATTTATATGCATATATGCACAGCCCATGGACAAAGGATAGTGGGGGAAGGCCTGGGGTGGGGGTGGGATCAGGATGGAGGGATCCAACAGTGGAGGGCAAAGGGGCGATATCTGTAATACTTTCAACAATAAAGCTTAAACCTATTAAAAATAAAATAAAAAGATTCCTCAATGGCTCCTTCCTTACCCATGCAGTCCTACTTTGTACAGTAAACAAAATAGAACAAAGCCAGGCACATATTAGTAAGCTTATTGAATATAAAAACCTAGCTATAAAAATGCAACTGTGTCCTTAATACATGTATTAAGAGTTTCTCTAGCATGTATTATGAGTTTATCGCTATGTCCTAAAACACATTCTTCGGCATAAAAAACTTCTGGTGTCTTCCTGAAGGCAGCATTAAGACATTAAATTGCACGTAAGATGAAAAACTAGAATAATGAACAAGATTCTATTTCAAATACATTCATATAAGAGTTGACTGCATTTTTAAAACAATTCTAGTAATTCAGAAAAGCCAGATTACTAAAAATTATCTAAAGGTAAAGCTTTTCAAAAAATTAATAAAGGTAAAAAATTTCACTCCCATTGTGAAAACAACATCAAACGGAAAAAACAGAATTTAAAACAGGGCAAAAGTAAAAAGAGTCAACTAATAATGGATCTACAACATTTTTGTCTTTGAAGGAGTGACGAGAGTGGAAAAAATGTAAATGAGCTAGGCAGAAAAAACAGATGCTTCAAGAGAGGAATGAAAAATGTAAGAAATGATTCAGCTGAGTCATTTTATGAGTCAGTCTGATGGCAATTTTTTGGTCTCAATGTTTAGCTTTACTAGATATAACAAAATTCAAATTTTACTGGTTATACTATAGGAAGACCAGATCCACATTTATTTTCAAGGTAAGTAATTTTTAAATGAAAATTTTTTTTTTAACTAAAATTTCATCAAAACCTCAGGTGATATAACTCACTTTGAAAGGACTCAAGTATGACCATTATTTCAAAACTGGTTACTTTATTAGGACTTACAGGGCTGGATTTGGGAGTATTATCCTGCCCCTGAGAATAATATTCTACTTAACTTTGGGCAAAGTTATTTGTAATGCTCATCAAAAAATGTGTTTAAGTTACTGGTTAAATTGCTTACTACTGTTTGCTTCCTTTACCTAAAGTTTGAAAGAATTAAGTACTTGTACAGCATTTTTATGGCACTTTTTTTTCCATAGTAGGTCTCTTGTATTTAACAGTCCAACTTTTTATTTATATAGTACTTCAGAATGTTCAAAGCAATTTTGCCTACATTATATATTGAACCACTCTACATATTAGAAGTCATCATGAGATCCCTTATCCTCATAAGCTCAGAAACATTACAGTCATTTCAATTATCCCTACTGAGGAAGACAAAACAAAACTTCTGGCAACGAGGTTCTACTTCCTAAGCACATCAAAACTTTAGCAGCACGTACCTGTTCTTTCAATGTTTCTTCCCTCGTCCTTACCTTGAACTCTTGGAGACAATTTTCAATTTATAAATTTATATCCAAGCTAACATAAAACACTTTTAAATAACATATCCTAAGTCATAATAATTTAACAAATAGTATTTCTATAATGAATGAATAATATTAACTGTAGTGTTTTCTGATAAATAATATATAACTGGCTCTTATAAAATTTAGAACTAGGAGTTTCCAAGAGGAGTTTCCAGAATGGAATTTGGAATACATTTCCCACAGAAGCATCATCATACAGGCTAGTTTGGCTCCTGAGCCAGACTGTAACCATCTGTACGTTAAGTGTAGGACTAATACCAATATAGAACCTAACCACCATATCTAATATGTCCATAGAAAATGCCTCCAAAATTCCAAACTGGAAGGCCAAACACATTTCTACATCTCTTTGCTGCAGTCTTTCCAAATTTCAACTCCTCAGAAGCTTTTGAGTCTTTAGTAAGTTCAAGGAGGAGGGTTTGAAGGGAGTTAGGAAAGGACAGAGAAACATTTCTTGGTAAAAGGAGGAGAGATAGGGTTACTATGTGGTTATGGGCTACAGAATATAAAGCAAGTGTAAGGAAGACAGGCTGTCTCCATGCATATATTCTATGAATACAGGGGATGCAGCCAAAATTACAATGTAGATAGCCATACCTAACGTGTGTTTATTAAAACATTGGATTCAACTCACTAATAAAAATCTGACCCTATTTGTTGCTACACGAAAGATATTTAACTTATAACATAAAATTAGTCATCTACTGTTTTTAAAGATCACACAGATATTTTTGTTCTTCAAAGAGGCTGAACCTGGCCAGAGTGGCTCAGTGGTCAAGAATCGACTTATGATCCAGGAGATTGCAGTTTGATTCCTGGTCAGGGCACATGCCCGGAGGCAGCTGATCAATGACTCTCCCATCACTGATGTTTCTATCTCCTTCTCTTCCTCTCCCTTCCTCTCTCTGAAATCAATAAAGACATATTTTTTTTAAAAAAAGTAGCTCACAATCTGGAAAAATACTAGCCCTCAACCTTTTTCTACATAAAAAGGTAAAAAATAAAATTTCTAATAGGCAAAATGATTAAAAGTGCTAAATCATCCTTAGTCCATATAATCCCTTCCTCTTTTTCTTCTTAGCTCCATTCACAAAAACAGTAGCAGCTCAAAAAAATCTATAAAATCCAATGTAATTTAAACTCTGGTTTTATTATTTTAGTATTATTAAAGTTATATGTTTTGGGAAAATAAAGCAATCCCTTTAGTTACTGTATTTAGATAGAATGAAATGAGCCAATAGTAAAAGAATATAGTCGATATTACAGCTAGAAAACAGTGAGAACAGCTACCAGATTTACAACTTTTAAAAGGGAACAAATTTAGTTCCCTTATCTAACTTACATTCCTTCCATTTATTTTAGCTTTTGATGTCGTCCTGCCTGAGAAAAATAGTCTAACAAATACCTTCAGTGGTTGCTTCCAGATCTACATATCTTGAGTAAATTAATTTTCCTAGAGTCTTAACTCACAGGGCAAAGAAATGCCCCCTTTCTTCTCTCTCTGGTCTTTTCTGAAAGCCTTGACCCTTGTCTTGTTTCTATTGCCCCATTTCATCACTGTGTAAAGCGCACTACATTATGAAACATACACTACAGCTATGCTGCTTCTGCAAAATAGAATATACATTTGACTAAAATAGTAAGGCTTTTACCTTGCAAAAAGGTATTCCCCCAAAGAAGACCCCCCCAAATCTAAACAGATGGTCACTATCATAAGGATTCCCAATTATTGGCTTGAGATCTACCAGCATGTCTTCAAGCCCTTGGCTGAGCTCTAAGTCAGCTGTCATTGTCAGGTCCTCCTTTCTACTATTCCCCAGTTCTTAGTTGGCTGGAATTAACATTGCAGGGACTGTACTGTCAAACCACACCATCAGAGTTTTCCTAAAAGAATATAATTTATCCCAGCCAGCGTGGCTCAGTGGTTGAGCATTGATTCACGAACCAGGAGATCACAGCTTGATTCCCAGTCTGGGCGCATGCCCCGGTTGTGGGCTCAGTCTCCAGTAGGCGGCATGCAGGAGGCAGCCAATCAATGATTGTCTCTTCCCCTCTCCCTTTCGCCCTCTGAAATCAGTACAAACATATTTAAAAATATGTATATATAATTTAGTTTTAAGAGACAGAAAACACACTCTTTTATTAAACTTCATTACAGGGATGCTAAAATGATTTCATTATGAAGTAATCTCACTTATAAAATCAAAAATATATAAAATATATAATATGTATATAAATATATTTTAAAAAGAAAAAATAATTCTGCATCAAGCACAGAATTATAGCAAGGTTCAGTGTAGTCTTAATTTCATTACTCCAACACAGTTTGAGAATACAAACGTTTCACTAAAAATATACACCTTTATGCACCAACAGAATTTTTCTCGATTCTTAAGAACACATGAAATTTTATAGATTGCTTAAAAATATATCTTGATGAGAAATCTTTGACATTTCTGAGGTGACTATTCCTAGGATTTTTGTTTAAGCATGCAGAAATGTATTAAAAAATATAAATGCTCCTTATAAAGAAGTACCTTAAGAGAAGCCATTGAACTTTAATTTCTCATACCTGTTGGATAGTAGGCTTGGGAGTACTGTGCTGAGGGTGTGTAGTTACTATATTTTTGGGAGGAGTTGACCATTGTTTGAGGACCTTGCTGAACATGTACAGATGTGGCACTGGGCTGCAGGGTATAGGTAACTTCAGTTGGAAACCTCTGCAGTACAGGAAACGGAACCCCTTTATCTGAAAAAGTCGGAGATGTTTCTACTTGTCCTGGGTGCATTCCAAGGGAGTTCTGCCATGTTCTAGGAGGAATCGGGGTCCGATCTAAACCTTTCAGAGGGAAGGCACTGTGGTTGTGGGATGCAGTTGATACGTAGGAATAAGGAGACAGACTATCTCGCCGGAATGACCGATGGAATTGTCCTACAGCCACGGGTCCTGCATAAAAGAGGAAAAGCACATTTATTAATTTTACATTACATCACTGGGGGTAGTAAACCAAACATCAAAAAATACATACAATTCTTCACCTATGAAATGTTGAGTTTTCAGTAATTTTTTAACACAACAGAAATTAGGTATTGTACAGAATCCAGAATATGAGATTACATATATAATGATGAAAAAATAATCACATAAATTTTTGTTTGGTTTTCAACTGACTGTCATAAGAGACAAAGTGACCAAACTTTAAAATTAAATCAAATGTTAAATTAAATATTCAATGTTAAAAGCCTTTTATAAATTATTCAATCCTTTTACCTTTTACCTCAATTGACTGATCCAGATTTTTCCTATGTGTAAGTAACTTCCTAGAAGTTTTAGAAATTCCATTCTGGCCTGGCCGGTGTGGCTCAAAGGTTGAGCATCGACCTATGATCCAGGAGATGTTGGCTTGATTCTCGATCAGGGCACATGCCTGGGTTGCGGGCTGGATCCCCAATAGGGGGAGTGCAGGAGGCAGCTGATCAATGACTCTTTTGTCATTGATGTTTCTCTCTCTCTCTCCCTCCTTTCCTCTCTCTGAAATCAATAAAGACATATCTAAAAAAAGAAAACAGAAATTCCATTCTGTGTTTCAAATCATTTAGGAACCTTAATAGGCACAAAAATAAGTACCCTTTTATATACATAAAAGAAATAAGTGTGGAACAAATGAGAATTATAACACAAACCAAAAAGAAATTTAATATTCTTTGCTCCCTTTCAATTAAAAAAAAGAGATAATTTTCACCCTGGCCAGTGTGGCTCGGTTGGTTGAGCATCATCCTGTGCACCAAAAGGTTGCCAGTTCAATTCCCAGTCGGGGCATATGCCCAGGTTTCGGGCTCAATCCCTGGTCAGAGTGCATGGGGGAGGCAGCCACTCAGTGTTCTCTCTATCCCTCTCCCTTCTGCTCTAAAATCAATTTTTAAAAACATATTTTAAAAAATGATAATCTTTGCAGAAAAATCAGGCTTGAAAACTTTGACTTAGTTCTCTATTTCATTCCTTAAATCAATCAGTAATTTCCATGGTCTGTTTTTCTTCAAATTATCTCTACTAGTGTCCTTTCCTAGGTATCAGTGGTTCTCAAAAACTGATTTACATATGAGACACCTGGAGAGTCTGTTAAAAATCCACATACTCAGGCCCAGAAATTCTGATTATTTGCTTTCTCTTATCTAGCAAGGTAGAAAAGAATTAAAAAGTGGGTATGAAGAAGAGAAAGGGCAATATTATGCAATGAGAAAAGGGAAAATATAAATGTTGCAAGCTGAACTTATTTTATAGACCGTGGTTCTTGAACATAAACAAAGCTAGCCTAATTTATTCCTAGGAAGGGCTTTACGTATTATGTGGTTCATAAATGCCATTCAATTCAATTTGTTTTATTAATCAAATCCATAAAACAGAGGGAAAGTCCAATTTATATGCTACTCATCTGTTTAACTACATGGTGAGAATGACACTCGAATACTTACTTTTTCAAATATTTAAACTGTAACCCTATTCTACATGTTACACACTGTTCATTTTATTTCTATGGTGTTTAGTTTCTCTAAAGAATAAAGCATTAGAGAGTGCTCCTAATTTTTTGCTCAAATAAACTCTTAAAAAATAAAATAAAATAAAGAAAAAGCATTAAAGCCAAAAGTAAATACATACATACAAATATATACAAAACATTCTGGAACCCTGGATCAAGAGCTCTAAACTTAATGGGGGGAAAAAATCTTAGTTCTGAAGAATGTATTTAAATGATATAGCTCTTAAAAACTACTTTTCCCATTTCCTTTAAAGAACAAAATATAGTTTTTATGCTACTTGACTAGCAATTCAATATGTATACACTTTGAACTCACCACTGACAGTTCTTTTAAAACCTAGAAACATTTTTTGCTCTTCACAACAGGTATTTCTGAGGTCCCAAACTACCCAACACTTCATTTTTCCTCCACACTTCATGGGTTGTCGTAAGCAGACACACATGAGCAGAGTAGGAACCATAGGCCAGGTGCGGAGGGTCACCAGGGCCTACAGTGCTGGGTGCTTAGCAACTGGCAAAACTACAAGCCCTTGCACAACCACTCCCTTAAGCATTAACCCCTGGAAATGACATCTAGGCCTTAGTTGTGGTTCATTCAGCTCCAGGCCCAGAAAAGCAGCAAAACCAGTCAGAACCAGCTGCATTGACTAAGGACCCTCTGCCCAGGTGCAGACAAATTAGTGGAGGTGAAGACCCTACGGAGGCACACCTAGAAAGCTAATGAATCTTCTATTGAGATCCTGCCCGAAGGCCCCCAGATAAAAGCCCTCAGGGCAGAGGACCCTGCATGGTTTACTCTATGGAACACACGGGCCTCCTCAAGGCACATTTTCCTTGCTCTTTCTCCTAAACTCCAAGGACACTTCTTTTGTCTTCGAACCTTGTTTCCTGAGCTCATTTCTTCTATGGCTCACTTCTACCTCTATGACTTTCTAAATAAACTTTCTCTTATAGTTTGAGTCTTGACTCTGAATTCTTTCTAGCCAGTACTGAGGCTGCTGAATCGAGGTCAGGTCTCACTCCACAGGTCTAACACCTGTTGCCCTTTTCCCACCGCTAACACTATCAACAGTGCAATAGCTCACTAATCCTTTTTGTACCCTCTTTAGAGTTAAGCTGTTGATGAATTTTTAGACTGTCAATAATTTAAGCAGCTAAAGAACTCTCTACCTTGATTTCTCAATTTCTGGCTTAGATCTGAATTAAAATATAAATTCTACTTCTACCAAGATAAATTCTGAGTGACGGCCAAATATTAACATATTTTAGATGCTGCTAACATAAGGACAGTTAGGATTCGAAGGACATTCCTTTAAATTTGTTTGTTTTTTTGAAATAAAAATCTAAAAACATGTTCAGGTGTTTTTTTGTTAATATGTCTTTATTGATTTCAGAGAGAGAAAGGGAGAGAGGGAGAGAGAAACATCAATGACGAGAGAGTCATTGATCAGCTCCTCCTGCACGTCCCCTGCTGGGGATCGAGCTGGCAACCCGGGCATGTGCCCTTACTGGGAATCAAGCTGTGATCTCCTGGATCATAGGTTGATGCTCAACCGCTGAGCCATGCTGGCAGGGCTGTATGTTTCTTTGTTTAAAGTAGTTACCCTATTTCTCTCAAGAACACATTTTCCAGTCTTTTCTCATTATTCTTATCAGATACACAACCTGAAAAACAAATATCCATGGCAGAGAGTCTGTCAAATGTATGCCATCGTATTGTCTCCACTGCCCTTTCCCCATTCGATTCCCTACCAAAACCAATAGCCATCATATGGAAGGAAGTAGCTTAATAATTCCTTCAGAATTCCTTTAGAACATTCCTATGCCACTGCTATTTTTCCAACTTGTTACTAGAACTCTAACCTAATCCCTTATCTTCTAAACTCCACAGAGGCAACCTAATCCCTTATCTTCTAAATTCCAAACGAACAAAGTGCTGCTTCATTCATAACTCTTGGCTTACATTAAGTTGAATGCAGTATTACTTTTATTTGTATAATTTTAAAGGTTTCCATAACTAAAAAGTAACCCAGAAATCTTTATGTTAAATCCACGTTAACATGCTGAAAACATTTCTGTTCTCTCCTACTTGAAGGTAAGGAGTGAATTCTCAATATTATATCCTGTTGCTTTCTTGGAGTTCACATCATAGACTCCTTAAAAAGAGAAAGGGAATATTGCCACTCTTACCTTCCTGGAAGAAGGGGAAGAGCATCAGAAATCAAGTTTATAAAATTTTCTATCACAGAGAATTTCTGAACTTTTAGTAAACACAGATTTATAAACACAAATACTTTTTCCCCCCAAATACTTATAGCCAATAGTGAAAAATTCAAAGGCCATAAATGTGAGCTTTCTAAAATTCTTTGTAGTAACTGAAACTTAACAGTGTAAAGAAAATCATTTTTGCCTTACATGTGTCCTACCATAACCTCTTAAAATAAGTACCAGCTCTAATTAGCTATACTGAAAAAATTGTTTAGCAGACTCCACCCACATACGAAGGGTATCTGGTAAATAAAATATATTACTACATGTTTGCTCTTAAGATATATAAACAATGTCCTATCCTTCTATACTTGGAGCCTAAAATATGACTGTCAGGACACCTCTTCCAAGATTTCTTAGTTACGTCAATGGGTGGAAGATGGCATCTCTTCAAGGGCAAACTTCCACTCAGCGTACCCTGTTTACGTTCCCTTGGTTGGTATAAATGGTCTAAGTTCTCCTTAGAAACTTGGCTGGGACTTCGTTGCTTCTTCCTACCTTGACCCCCATCAGTCTCACCCTGTAGTCACTGCATTCTGCTTCCCGTTAGAGTGAAGGAGACCCTGCCGTGTTTCTTGCAGACCCGGTGCTTCAGCAAAGGACTCCTTATTCTAGATGCTCACGGGTCTCAAGAAGGGAATGGCTGCGGCCATATGGAGTCCCAGAGGGGTACAGGAAGAGGAGAAAGAGCCTAAAGAAGAGGTCCCTTTGGCCGCTAGCGGATATAGAAGGGACCAAATGCCCGCAGGCTCTTTCCACGGGTATAGCAATTAAGGGGGTGCTGGTGAGAACGGTGATGGCGACGTGACCTACATCTGGGGAAGCACAGCGGAAGGTGGATCCTGGGCCCATCTCGGATACCTCAATGACGAGGACGTGTGACAGTGTCTTTGAGGTGGCGGTTGCTCCCTGTGCCCTGCGGGGGGCGAGGGCACAAGAGACCCGATGGGACTCACCGTGCGGATCGGGCCGGGGCCCCGCGGGCGGCGGCGGCTCCTGGTGCTCCAGCGGGGAGGTGGAGGTGGAGACCGAGGCTGAGGCCGGCACTGAGGAGGAGGCCGAGGCGGAGGCGGAGGCGGAGGCCGAGGCGGAGGCGGACGCCGACGTGATGAGGAGCCTCTGGAAGCGGTTGGGCGGGCGGCAGGGCACCTTCAGGCCGGCCGCCAGCTTGGCCTTGTTGGCGCTGGTGAGCCTCTTGAGGTGCACGAGCAGCTGCGGCTGGTCGCGGCGGAAGTGCGGACTGTGG